ACGTTGCTTCTTCAAAGCTAGCGCCATCACCTAGGTTGGTTGTTTTTCGGGCTGAAAATCAGTTGTCCGGTTTGCAGCTTTATGTAGCGAGCAAAGATGAATTATTGAAATTATTACCTATTGCCTGGTGCTCATCTCGATCATTTATCATTCGCTGATTCCACCTCGCTGTGACTCTTCATGTCATCGCACGCGATGTCCAACACCACCTACATACGTATCTTTTCTCTTCTACACTTCGTAGCGGGCCCAGCGAAACGCCGCTCGCTGCTGTAGACATGTCTGAGCGTATGCACCCAGAGTGTTGTTCAGTTTGTGTTAATTTATTTGTGATGTTATTTCGATATCACATTAAATCCGGCTCTCTTTGTGCGTAGGTCCCCGGATTGACAACTGAACGGCTGTGTAGGTTCCTGTACTTACAATCTGTATCCACAAGTCGCTTCCTTTGCGTATCCCCACCGCTCACCACGCCGTCGGCTGTGTAGATTCTTCTGTACTACTCAAAGGTTTGCGTCGCTGTGTACCCCTACGGCTCAGGTCTCATACGTTGTGAATTGCATAAATCTGGCTCTTCAGTAGGTCCCCTTGCGTGCGTGCAGGCAGAGAGACGAAAAAAAAACTGATACTAATTTATGTAGTGAAAACAGACGTGCGTGTACGTTGTGCCACAGCCCGAGCCCACTGGTGGTGGTGCGTTCGACGGACCAGAAAATACAAAAGCAGGCGGGAATCAGTCGGTTCTTGGTGTGTATGTAGTTATTTCTTCGTGACTCATCACTTAGAACGGTTAGAGTACTTGCCGGCATGCGAGCGTAATCTATCTGCCCATCCAAAATAAAATACGGCCTATTCTGGCAATCAATGCGCATCATGTGGTCTTGCGTCGCCCGCGGGAGGCTTGACACCCACGTCCCGAAGGGAGACCTTGTATCCTGTAAAGATTCTAACAGCACACTGACAAAGCGGAACAGCGAGAAAGATGTACGGACGATCAAGAAAAACAAACTTGCCTGAAGTACGACTGCGGGGGTACTGCAAGGTGTTCCTCACGAGCAGTCCCGGATCACACTTCTTCTTGGCAGAGGAGAGAAGAGGTTGTGGGGCGAAGTCTTGCTATGGTGGTGGACACACACAAAAGTTGGGGAGAAATCAATAAGATTATCGAAATTACTTCGCACCTGCTCTTCCATTTCGGTGTCGTCCAGGTACTGTTCCAGCGTCAGAGCTCGGCACTTTAGGTACCAGATGGCCTGAGAGAGCAACCACCCACGCGATACATTAGACGAAGCTGCGCACGAGCAACTACGTATTGTACATAAGCTTCGAGTACTGGCTACTGCCCGCTGTTGAAGCCCTACAACAAGCTGTACGTGGACTCAGATTTTCGTTTTTCTATAGCATACGTGTGGAAGTTCTATTTCTGGGTGAACAACTACCGCAACGTCCTGAATACGACACAAGCCAAGGATGCACTTCTTTATAACGTGGGTATTTGAGTCCAGTACGGTCAACCCAGTGCTTCACACGGCCCGGGCACCTGATCCCGCGGAGTCTTGGACAAGAGGTCGGAGCAAATGTTGACGCAATCGCTATACTTTCGTCGACGCATCTTGCTCATAGCGTACCTGGCGGTCGTGGCATTTACGTGTGAAGATAGCATCGGCCGATGAAGTTCGTGATCGTCTGTATCTGTGAGTAGTTCACACATTGTATATAACGCTATGCGTGCCCCGTTTCGTTCGAGCCGCCCAGTTTGTGATGCTCTGTTTTATCCGGAACATTGCGATGCTTGTTTTGGTTTTCGTCTGCACGCACATACATGGTACTACGTATCATATGTGGTGCGCCCGACAACCAATACAACGTGATAGTACAGCTGGGCGTGAAAAGCATGGGTACTACGTATTATATGTGGTGCACCCGACAACCATGACAACGTGATAGCACAGCTGGGCGTGAAAAGCATGGGGCAACTTGTGTCTTTGCTTGCATTTCTGTTGACGCAGGCGTTCTTCACAGATTCGAAAAGTTTCAACAAATTGAAATGAACCCGTTGGATTCTACATATCTCTGCAACCAATCCCGTGAGACCACCGCAGTTGTATTGGGTGGCTTCAAGAAGTTTGAATATTTATTCGCCCTTATGACGATGTAGACCATGCAGTATGTTTTCAAAGCAATTGCAGAGGGCGGGGGTATGTGTACGTTGCAGAGTGTGACCTAGAGTGGCAAGACAGTGGCGGGGAGAGGAGGCGTGGGAGGTATAGCCACCGTGAGTCGCTTGTACAACACAGTAGGCTGCCGTACATTCTCTACAATAGCAGTAGGACTACTATTCGTGAGGTGCTGGGTGTATTTTGCCCATGATTCGAGACCCCGACAGGTCTCTACGCCGTAGCTCTAGACCGGCACAGTCTAGCTTATCGTTTAACCGGTACTTTGGACATATTGTGCTAGATGATTTTATGATCTTCGATCCATTAGGACAGCAGAAGCAGTGTTGACAGCGATCTTTTGCGTTGGGTGCAATCATTCGATGACAAGCCTCCTTCGCGCAGTACTCACCACATCGGGTCCAATCCATTGGGCACATCCACCGCGCCAAGACTCTGCTCGTGAGGGTCCATCGGCGGTTCCTTTTGTTCTATGAAGGTGATGTCAATGTTTCGAAAAGGAGAGATGCAGCACAGCAGTGTTCTCGCAGTGTTACCAGGCCGGGGACCAGCGAGACAGCTCAGCAATTGCGCCGCAAAACTTTCCGAAGAGCAACATATCGAAACGCTGGCCCTCGTTTTTCCGCCGCGTCGTCGCGTCCCTAGAACTGCAACTCTCCTCCTGATACGTCGTGCTGTACTCTGGTTCCAGTGAGTACGATGAGCCTAGCAACAACTGCTGCAACTCCGCAAGGCCGAAAGCGAAGACGGCATCAACGTCGTAGACCGGCGGCCGATGACAACTCGTCTGCCACGCCGGTCGCCATGCTCCCGCGGGTCGCAACCGCACCTCCGGCGGACCCCGCTCGATCACCACGATGCGGTGCCGCTGCGACGGGGACACGAGCAAAAACAGCAGGAACAGAAAATACACGCCCGTCGTCCCCAGAATTTGCTGATACCGCAGACCTGGATGCACAAATATCCACGCTGGCGTCGATCAGGGTCTACGGGTACGGGGCTGTGCCCGGAACCCCTTTCCGGCGTCCGAGAGGTCGTCACGCTGCACATGGGGCACGGGAGTTGGCGACTGCAAGCGGCAAGGCGGTAGAGAGCAATACGACGATAGGTAGTGGAATCATTGGTTGCAGCACTTCAACTGGGACTGCGAAGGTGGGCAGAGGAAAACATCAAACCAAGACACGCGCCAGGAGTGATTCAGCAAGGACGAATCGGGAGCCATGGGTTGGTCCGCTGGACCGTGGGGTGAGTCTACAGACCGCTGTGGAGGGTACAGGGCCAAACGAAACCCCCATGACAACAAGCATTACTCATGGACTAGCTTCAGTGAACAGCATAGTGCAGCTCTGTCATGTTTATTCGATCGTTCGGGTGACACTATACGCTTGAAGTCGTGTACTCCGATATTTTTCCACGCCCCCCGCCGATGGGACAGGTATGTTGTTGTTGTTGTTTCTCACATTAGCTCTATAGACTAGTCTAGGCAAGTCCACAAAACATGGGGAGCCCGTGGTCTCAAAACTCGACACATATGGTCCGTCCCGGACAATTTGTCCAATCACGTTTTGTGCAATAACTTGTAATAAAAAGCGAATTGAAACTTGAAACAACTTTGGCCGTGACGGCCGCGTCGAGTTGCATCGATATCCGGTGAGTTTTTTTTGATTCGGGTGTTTTGCGACATTTTCGGCCCAAAATGATCCACGGTGCCCCCAAACCACTATATACCCCCATGATATCACATCACGGAGCCCCCAGGACCCCTCCGCGCACCACACGTACGCACACAGATGTACTGTTTACATCCATGCATATCATACATATGTTTTCAAATTCAAAATGCATTCAACAGCACACCGTAGGCGCAACTTTCTTGGCGGCGGGGGGGGCTGCGCCGGAGGTTCTCCGAAGAGAAGGGCGTTGGTCGGGGGAGAGTAGTCAACAGTGTTACGTTCGAAATGTTGGGGGTGACGCTTCGTGGGTGTCAGAGGTGTTGGCGAACAAGGAGAAGGTGACTACACAGCCAGGGCAAGGTACCCGATGGGGTGGCGTGTGAAGGGGTTCCGTGGCACGTTGTGTATGTCGAGATCCTTGTTGTACCGATGGTATTTTGCTGTACATATTGTATGCCGCATATATTGGACGTTG